AGGGGCCCCCGGGCCCCCAGCCACTGCTGCCACTACCACAGCAATGGCTGGAGCCCTGGGCCCCCTCAATCACCATGGCAGCACTGCACTGGATCTGAGGATTGGATGGGGGAGGAAAGATGTGGGGCTGTGTGCTCCAGAAAGTGCTGCCCCCAGCCTCATCTCTCCTGGGAGTGCAGAGCTGCACCCGCTTCTCCCTCCTCCCCCAAGCTTGTCAGTTCTGTTGTAGGGGAAGGTGCCCCATGTGTGGGTGACGGCTCTGCCAAGCACAGACGCAGGCTCTTTCTGTGGAGAAGCTGCTTTACAGGGGACACTCTCTCCCCTGCTGGGAACTTGGCCATCAGAGTGTACATGCCCCTCACTCTGGGTTTCCCTGAGTCCCCCTTGGCTATCTACCCTCGGAACTGGCAGGACAGATCAGAGCCCCGCTTCCTGGGCTCAATCTACTGACAGTGGCCAAAACCAACTGATCCTGGGGAAGAAACCTTGTAGGAGGCAGCTAAGGGATGGCTAGTGAACAGGACAGTTTCTTCTTCCCTAATAGCTAGACAACAGTGGAGGCCTGCAAAGCTTCCGGGTGCTCTACCACCCATCTAGTGTGGGCCTTAGCCCAGTGAGCTCCTCAGGACAAGCGCATGCCTATGACAGCGGCCTTGCTGAGGAAGATGGTGCAGGAAGGCTTCCTGGGGCAAGAAGGTTTGAAGGAGATGGGTGGGCGGAGGCACAGAGAACACTGACTTGAGCAGCCTCTTCAGGGGCACCCTGGAAGGACACCAAGCCAAATGTAGGCATCTGGCCTGCCGATTAGTGTGTTGAGCCTGTCTGAGGCCACAGTCATCAAATGTAAATGGGAGCAAGTGTCTCTAAGGCACTTCCCCCTCCCCCCTGCTTGCCTACATTCATCTGAACCCAGCTAGCAAGCATAGGTGCTGACTTCCCCTCTAGCTGGGGGGTTCTCCACACCCTCCACTCCAGACCCCACTGCCATTCCATCCCTTCCCCTGTTCTACCTTTGCCCTGCCAGAGCATGCCCCTTCCCCACTCCTCCCTCCTGGAGCTTCCAGAATGCTGAGAATCAGCTCATCTCCTGCCCTCCCCCCCCC